AGATCCCCATTATCTCATGTGGATGGAAAACTTACGTTTCAAGCTATTTGTTCTATCAGAAACTGAAAAAAACATGAAATAAAATTCTAAGCAACATAACATTTGTTGGCTCATCCTTTCCAAAGAAAAAGAGGACTTTAGTAGTGTGATAAACTATCCCTGAGAATTAAAAAACAAACAAACAATCAAAAAATGAAGTCATTAAACCACTAAAGCTTTGCATGTAGTTTTTCTTTAAAAGTGGTTTATTACTATTTACCTCTGACTAATTTTAACCCCGCTTGCTTTGTTAGGGACAATATAAGCCTAGAAAAAGTTTCAAAAAGGAAAGAAAGAAAGAAAGAAAGAAAGAAAGAAAGAAAGAAAGAAAGAAAGAAAGAAAGAAAGAAAGAAATCAGTGATTAGATGCACAAACTATTTAAAGAACCATTGTCAAATCTCAGCTGCCTTTTATACTGCCTTTTTTATACTGCCTTTTATAAGTTGTTTAGAAAGTGAAAAGGATGATCATATAGAAGCCCTGTTCTTAGCTGCAAATTCTCCATCTGATTGAACTGTTTTGGTTAGGGGTAGCTATCATTTATCCTTATTTCTCCAGAACATAACATCCACAGCATTAGGAAAAATGTTGTTTGCAATTTCTATCACTACAGGTAACAGTGCCAAAGGAAACTTAGGTGTTTTTTTTTTAATCTTTGTACCAAGCTACTATCCTACATACTATTATACTCTGATAGCATATTTTATTTAACTAGAAATATGGCTCAGATCAACAATGTTGTTATTTTCATTTTACAGGTCTGTTTAATCTGTGAGGGCTATTCAAACATTTAAGCCATCATGCAAATACAAAAATGTAAATTAGAACAAGAACTAAAATACTTTCTTGCTATACAATTATTTTATTTTAATAACCCAGAATTTCTCAAATATTACATATACAAATATTACATAAAGTACTCCAGCTTGGGAATGCCAAATTACATGTGAGTGCCATGCTATCTTTAATAATATTTTGTAAAAGCAAAACAAAATCTCTACATTTATTAATTTATTTAGAATAGTAAAAATAAAAATCAATATCTTAGACCATAGTTGACATGAATAACCCATTTGGATCCATACATTAGAACAACATATTTTATATGTTGTCAGAACCCAAATTATATAATACAGCCTTTTATTTGAAAAAAAGTACAGTGAGAACTGCACAAACAGAACTGATTGGGTTAAATTGTAGGGCTGATTCAAAAATATAAATTGTATTTTCTTTTAGTTCTGCATTTTAATCTATTCTGTTATCTATAAGTGTGTTTTCTCATATTTTGTTTTCTGATATAGCATTATAAATAGTCAATAAAGATATATATATATATATGTATATGTATGTGTATATATATATATATATATATATATATATATATATATATATATATATACACACACACACATACACACATATCAGTGGTGAGTTGCCACAATGGGTTTACGGTAGTAAAACTGGTGGGAGGGTCCGCCCACCGACCTTGATGTCATCAGAACGCTTCTGCACATGCACAGAAGCTTCTACGCATGTGCAGAAGAGTGTGCACACACGCGAGTGAAGCAAGCACACACATGCGGCCCCATTGCGAACCAGTAGTAAAGGTAAGTAGAACCCACCCCTGATTTTATATATATATTATATATATATATATATATATATATATATATATATATATATAAATATGTTTTCTGAGGTTTTCGCGGGTGTTTGTATGTAGGTCTTTGGTTATTTGGATTTTCTCCTGCGTAAAATTAGAGGTGTCTTGGCAACATTTCGACGAAGTCTCATTTATCATCTTCAGGTTGGTGTTCTCGGCTTTGTGCTTCTAGGAGCAATGTGTGTGATCGCAGCTGTTTCTTCCTTTTAACTGCCAGTGCGGGTGTGAACTGATTGGGTGGGAGCTTGGCTGTGTTCTGATTGGATGGGGGGTTGGCTGTGTTCTGATTGGATGGGTGTGTGTTCTGTTTAGGTGGGGGCTTGGTTGTGCTCGGGTTAGTCTGAGTAGCAGGGGGATTTGAGCTGGTGAGCTGTGTTGCTGTTGTTTGGCTTCGTGTTCGTGGCCGTGCCACCTCTTCATGGTGGGTGTCAGTCTGCTTCATGTATGGATTGGAGGGGTTTAAAGTGGCTAATGATGCAGCTGTGGTCTGGCTTCTGGTCCGTGGTCATGCCTCATCATCAGTGTGGGTTTGAGTCTGCTTTCTGCGTGGATGTGTGGTGGTTACATCCTGTGTGGCTCTCATGAGTGTGGGTCTGGTGTCATTCTTTGTGTTAGGGACTCGTTTGTCAATAAGAACTATCGCCAAAACTGAACACTTTAACAACAGAATAATCAGAGAAGCCATCAAGATAGAAAAACGTCCACACAGCATGAATAAACGAGATGATACCTCCCGCCTACCAGCCATTTGGAAACCTGCCCTTATTGACAAACGAGTCCCTAACACAAAGAATGACACCAGACCCACACTCCCGAGAGCCACACAGGATGTAACCACCACACATCCACGCAGAAAGCAGATTCAAACCACAAACCACCTGATGATGGCAGATGAGATTCTGTCGAAACGTTGCTTCTACCCTTTTAGGGATATGTTCACAATTACACGGGAAGAAACCAGAAATATTAACTGCGCGCGCCGCGCGCGCGCACACAACACACACACACACACACACACACACACACACATATACATATATATAAAATATATATATATATTTTAATGGAGAACATTTGACTGATTTTTTTATGGGTCAAGTATGACATTCGTATATTACTTTAGCGAAGAAGTAGCCATAAACAACTGGTCTTTTCTATTGGTTCTAAAGTGATCTGTATCCTCATTTACCTTAAATCTTAAGGGCAAATGTCAAGCTGGAACTCTTCCCATGACCTTTTCAGATTTGGAACTGTCGATTGTAAAGGGAGCTTCTGAATGGTAAAACAATGTGTAATAATTACTAACAGTCACAGAACCTCGTCTATTTCTGGCAACACATAAAGCTCAGAAACAACACCAGAAAAATAAATGCAATTGTCAAGCATCCTGAGACCAAGGTAGAAAACAGAAGTTTCTTGCAGGCAGTTGTAGTGTATGTGCGTGAAGGAAAATTGCAAGGCAGATTTTGGCACAGCATTACTCAGTAACATCTCCCTCAGCGCAATCATATTCATGTCTATTCAAACATACACCCTACTGAATACAAAGAGATTTTTTCCATGAACTGAATTGTCCTGCATGTCTGCATTATTTAGTCAGATTTCAGTCTACCTTACAATTGCACCTACATTTTCCCCTAAAGCAAAAATAGGTTGCAAGATAATTTCTACCTACAGAGGCATTTTCCATATCAAAATTTTCAATAAAAATAAGATGAGAGTTCATATTTATGAAGCCTAAGTAAAACACAATATTAGCTGGGCATTTTGCCATTCCATTTAATCTGCCATTATAACAAATATTTTTCTTTAATGACAGGTATTTCCTGGGATTAATAGGCATGACTATATAATCAAGTGAAGAAAAAAAGAGACGTTTGTATAATTTTGTTCACTTTCAGAGACTTTTTGGACCCTTTTTGTTTCCAAACATTAGCCTTTATTATGAGATTTGAAGAAAGAGAAGGCAAAGTGTTTCAGCATCCATAGTCACAGCCTCTAGTAATGTGCCAAGGCACATGGCACAATCAAGATCTCTGAACTCTCCTAGATGCTGCTGTTCCTCATATGGAAGCTGTTAAATCACTTCAGGGCTTTTGACTCCTCTAAATTGACTCTCATGTTGAAGGCTCCTTGCAGCAGAGAAATCAAAGAGAAATCAATTGGCCCCTGCTGTCAACAGTGGAAATGAGGAGGAGCATTCAGAAGATGGATTTTGATGATGTTCTATTTCACAAGCAAAAGAAGAACTTATCAATTTCATTGAGCTCTAGGGATGATTTTCAAGCTTCTTGAAATACAGCTGTAAAATATCACAGAAAAGGGAGGAAAAAAAGAAAGTTTTGTTTGAGAATGTTAAGGCATTGTTTGAAGTTTCATTTTTTTCTTACTTTGTTTTGAGGCCAGACAGTTTAATTATTAGGGATAAAGGGAGAAAAAAAAGACAATATATTTTCTCTTTGGAGAAGTCTTATATTATAAAAGATGCTGACTTTGTATGGATATGTATGATATACTTTATATGTACAGATGAAAAATGAAACAATTTACAATACATTACATGATTTATATATGGAATATAGAAAAAACCTCCATGGTCATCCATAGAAATGGATATTTTTATGTAACTGGATTTCAGCTTTCCAAAGCATGAGATTGTCAAGAAGAGAATACAATTAAAAAGTTTAAATAGTTTCCTAGAAGGAGGAATTTCAATGAATGAAACACATGCTGAAATTATCTTATACATTCTAGTTTTTATAATGAAAAGCCAATCAGAAGCTGAACTTTTCAAAAGAAGCAATTTGTTGCAGTAAACTTCAAGATCTTGAAAGATCCTGCTTACCAAAAAAAAAAAAACCCACAACAACCTGACAACCACCTTTGTTACCTTACAGAAATTATAACTAAAGCATGGCTTTAAAAGCTAGTAATATTGACATACTGTACTACACATATTTTTAATATTTTAAACCACATATTTTTAATATTTTAAACCTTAATACTATGTATATTATGGTAGCAGATCACTTCAGTTCAGTTTTTAACTTCCTACAAAGTTAATGCATAGCCTTGATATATGTAGCTGAAAATTATTATTTTCCTTGTGTTTTTGCAAGCATCAGATGTGGGAAATTCAGACTAGAAATGAATGGATAGGATCATTATGAGCATTAAGATCTTCTTGAAGTTTGCTGCAACAAATCGCTTCTTTTGAAAAGCTCAGCTTTTGATTGGCTTCTCATTATGAAAGCTAGAATGAAGTCTATACCATTTGTCTATTTGTTTTCTTTTCAGATGCACATTCAGGAAACCAAACAACCAGCTGGAGAGCATATGATGGCACAATTTCCTAACTTTAGCTTCAGTTAGGCAAGACTGGAATAAAACTGTTGCATCTGGGGAGTTTTGGTGGGGAGAAACCTGAACTGAGCTCACAGTCAAATCACTTCACACTTTCTGCTAATTTGATTCCCAAGTCTCTACAAACCATCTGGCAGACATCTTCAACATCCAGAAGAAAAGAGGCAGGTTGATTCTATACAGAAAACCCAGTTGCTGAAACATGTAAGAATAAGCAAAATTTATCCCATGACTTTTCAGTTTGCTGTGATTTAGACATTTGTGGCCACAAAGCCAGCAGACTTTTGCTAGTGGAACTTACTTGGCTGGAACTCAAAGTAGTTGATAGAGAGATTTTCTTTTCTTTACAGCAAAACTCTCTAACAGCCCTGGTAACAATTAATTGGAAATAAGGATTTCAATCTAATACTTTTTATTCACCATCTTGTAAATATTAGTAGGCTTGTTCTGGGAGTGGGGAGATGTAACCTATAAATCACTGGATTCTTAGGAAAATTGAACATGGAGTCCTTGCATCAATCTAGCAGTTCTACAGTTCTATGTTCCCATGCAATTGTGTGTATTTGTTAACCAATTTATTTATTTTTAGTTTAGCTTCAGTGTGTGGTGATAAAAAGAAATAGAAACAATAAAGACAATTGGATTGCTGGCTTCTAAGTGGCTGAGTGGGTTGGAAGTGGAAACAGTGTTGTGCCTTTATTTTCAAACTAGACAGAAAGCTCCAATGACACCTATACATTGTGTAAACTCAGAGTATCTTAATGTTAGTTGTTTGTATTAGTCTATTTTGTGCAGTGTTCAGTTCTGATAAATATCTAGGCCCTCCCTGTCATAAAGGTGAAAATGCAACAATTCACTAACTGGAGTAATCATACAAAATTTCAAGGCAGTCAGACAGATGGTATTACGAATACCTTTTGATGTAAAACAAGGAGAAAGGCAAGAAAAATAGGTCAGTTTTAACAACAAATGTTCCACCTCTTCCTAAAGAAAGAAAAGAAAGAAGATAGTAATCAGTAAGAGGAAGCCATAACTGTTCCTTTCTTTAAAAACATGCACACACACACGCGTGCACACACACACACACACAACAACAACAGCAACAACAACAACAATTCCTGCATAAATTTTTATTTGTAAAAAATCTTTGTACTTTATGTAATGTTAAAATAAATGTTACCACTAATGATAAATCAGTTTAATCCTTCGTGCAGCTTTAGAATTTATCAGCTTCATAGGTCATTTATGATAGGAAAGAGTGTATTGCCATAGAGCAGAAAAGCAATAATAAAGACTTAGTATAAATAAGTTCAAATTTTGATGTTCCACTATATAACCTGCAGCGTTTACATTGTGATGAAACTTAAGATACTCACTGTGGTATGTACACACTAATATTTGAAAGTAATTTATGTGGTGAAAACTAATCCCAGATATTTTTCTGCCTGAAGAAAATATCATGATGAATCATGAATCAAATAAGTAGGCTAGATTGGGAAATTTAAGACAGCCTTTTAAATGAGAGAAATTCTTGAAACGTTTATGAGGACTTCCATTGCTCATGAAGCTGGCACCACATTCTGGCCAGAGGTGGGTTTCAGCAGGTTCTGACCAGTTCTGGAGAACCGGTAGCAGAAATTTTGAGTAGTTCAGAGAACCGGTAGTAAAAATTATGACTGGCCCCAGCCCCATCTATTCTTTGACTCCTAAGTTCTAGCTGATCGGGAGGAAATCGGGGTTTTGCAGTAACCTTCCCCTGGATTGTGGACAGAATGGAGATTTTACAGTATCCTTCCCCTGGAGTGGGGTGGGAATGGAGATTTTATAGTATCCTTTCCCTGCCATGCCCATCAAGCCACGGCCACCAAGCCACACCATGCCCACCAAGCCATGGCCACAGGACCAGTAGTAAAAAAAATTGAAACCTACCACTGATTCTGGCCCTATTTGTCACAAAAAAATGGAGTTCTGATTCTGGAATCAGATAAGGATTTGGTTGAAACAAAATGGGATAAATGAATATTCTAGGGCCACAACCTAAAACAGGCTAAACAATATTAAATTTTATTAATATAAATAATAATATGCATTTTAATGTCTGAATAAATATAATGTATAGGTATAGAGTGTCAATCAGTAAATGAAAATAGATTAAGACAACAGACAGCTTAATTAAGTAACTCATATTTTATATTTACTGTACCAGGAATGAGAATTCTGTGACATTCAAGTTATTGCTCAAGAACAGCTATCAGCATATATTTTCAACTCGCTAATCTAACGGAAGCTTCTGAGGATTATAGTCAAAAAACACAGATGTCCTTAAGATGGCATCTGGTAGTGATATTATTCCTTCCTTACTAGGATAGGATAGGATAGGATAGGATAGGATAGGATAGGATAGGATAGGATAGGATAGAATAGAATAGAATAGAATAGAATAGAATAGAATAGAATAGAATAGAATAGAATAGAATAGAATAGAATAGAAAATTCTTTAGTGTCCAAGTGTAATTGGACATACAAGGAGTTTGTTTCCAGTGTATAAACTCTCAGTGTCATACAAACAACAAAGGATATAATCATAAGATAACAGTATACATCGAACATAGCATTCAAAATATATGAAGTAAATTAATATAAATAAAGTAAGCTGTGGCAGTTTATGCATTGAGTTACCAATTGAACTAAAAATGAAATATTTCACTCAGTTATGTAGCATGAATAAACTGGTATGACTAAAAGCAGTTTTTCCCCAGTTCTGGTTCATATCTATGTGCAGGGTTCACCTGCAAATGTTAGCTTAATGATCTGACTGTGGTTCATGGAAATTATTCCATAGAAAAAAAAGTTTCTGAAACTTTAATAACACCAATTTAGAAAGCACTTAAATATAATTTGGTTGATGTTTCATGCAATTCCATTACACACCAGTGCAAAAAAGATCAACTTATGCTTTCAATAACGGAATCATAACCAATAACAAACGCATATGATGCAATGTTAGGAAGATAGTATTAATTCTTTCATGGTGATGGTGTTAGGGTAAATAAGTGGCTTCTTATTTCTGTTTCCCCCAAAATAAGACATCCTCTGATAATAAGCCCAATCAGGCTTTTGAGCGCATGGCAATAAGGCCAAGCACTTATTTCAGGGTTCAAAAAAATATAAGACGGTCTTATTTTCGGGAAAACACGGTATGATGTGTTGATTGTTTTGATTTTCTAAAAGACAGTCTTTAAAATGATTCCTTCTCCCTAAATGAAGTGGAGAGGATCTGAATTTGAAGAGTTGCTTTCAGGAATAATACTGTCCCCAGCCTGCCAAAACAAAACAAAGCCCCCATAAACTTACTGGCTAGCTTGACTAGAGTTCAGCCATGCATTTCTTTTTTCTTCTTACAAAATCACTTCCCAAATATTTAAACATTTACCACTACTTTACACACAAAGGCACAGATATGATTAATAGAGGATATATTTTCTTTTATGTACTCCGAGACCGTATGCAGCAAGACAAATTCCTTGTGTGTCCAATCACACTTGGCCAATAAAGAATTCTATTCTATTCTATTCTATTCTATTCTATTCTATTCTATTCTATTCTATTCTATTCTATTCTGGTTAAAAAGATCACTTTCAGATAAGGCTTTCGAGACTCTACTGTTGCATCCAAAGGTCAAGAGCTCTTGTCACTATCCCCCCTATTAAGAATATTTATATTGTATTTAGTTATTTGTTCTGACAGGTATTTAGCTGGAAGACAGTTATGAGATAAACACTTTTTTCTTGACTACTCATTGAATTACTGAGTTATTTAAAAAAAAATCAAGAGAAACTTGGGTATTATAGCCTATTTCCAGCACAATAAGTCAAGGTTTTGCTTTACAGGGAGACAATTTCTGAAGAAATGCTTTGAAATAGTTGTTAAAAGGCATGGTTGTTAAAAGGCATGCAAATAGTCTGAGATAAGGAAGGACAAAGGTACCTGGTAGAACAATGGCATTTATGGCTTTCTAAAGCAAGAATATTTCCCACTATAGTTTTGAAGAATCTTTTTCCTCCCTCAAGAAGAAAGTTTGAAGTTCCCCAAACGTTTTTCAGTTTGAAGTTCCCCAAACGTTTCCCTATTCATTCTCCAAGATTATACTGATCAGTTGGCAAAGCAATGTGGAACTTGTACTATAGAAAATTATATGAAGTCTCTTAAATGGACAAGACAGAAAATTAAAATTTTACATGGACCACCAAGTCATCTGAATATACAAATTCCTTGAGTGTTTTAGAAACAGGCATAATGTTAGTAGAAGTACCAAGTTTAATCTTTTACCATACTATTCAGGTTGAAACAAAAACATAAAATAATTATTGTACAAGAGTATGGAAATAAGTCTTCCACCAAATAATAAACAATGAAAATGTGTGATATAAATAAGTAGATGCATCATCAGAAATCACTGAATATAATTTCCTTGGCTTTTTAAATAGAGCTTATTTTCTTTATTTGCAGCTGTGCTCCTTCTCGCCTCTCTGCCTGTGCTATTTGAAGGACAGAACAGATTTCATTCTAATAGTTTCTAAAACTCATGCTGTTGTGAGCAATGTCAGATAAGAAGAAAGAAGATCTAGAGTCATATTCCCAAAGAAATATGCATGGCACTACATAACTTTGAACTGGCTACTCCTCCTTTATTCAACCCAAGGTGCAGTCCTTTTTTGGAAATGTGCCCACCTAGGTTTTAAATGTGGCAACAGCCATGAAGGGTAAGGGGATAGTGGGCTAGCTGCTTTTAGTCTTAACAGCTTTTAGATACACTGTGTCACAGATTGGCATTGAAGACCATGCAGACACTACAGCTGATCCAGAATATAGTGATGCAACAAATTATGAATGCATCTCGATACACTCGTGTAACATCATTAACAATAACAGCAGCACTAGTTATTAATAAACAATTCAGCTTATTGGTTATAGTTGATAAAATCCTTCATGGCAACAGGCCTGTCTACCTGAAGGATGGTCTTTCTTAGTCAAGTTCATCTGATAAGATCTGACAACATACCAGTGGTGAAATGTAAAATTTGTTACGTAAAGCCCCGAAGACGTTTTTATTCCATCAAGCCGGCCTAGCCTAAATGGTTTTTAAATTGGGATTTTAAATTTTATGGATTTGGGGGTTTTAAATTGGAAGCTAGTGATTTAATTCTTTTTAATTATCTTAACTTTTGTATTTGTATGTTTTTTTAATTTTGGCTGTTCACCGCCCTGAGTCCCTTCTGGGAGAAGGGCGGTATATAAATTAAATTAATAAATAATAAAATAAATAAATAAATATTGGTTCTGTGGGCGTGGCTTGGGGGGTAATGTGACTGGGTGGGTGTGGCCAACTTTTTTTTTTTTTACTTTTAAAAGCATTTTTTCTACAACCTCTTTGGCCGAAGAGGTTGTAAAAAAAAATGCTTTTAAAAGGCTCTGATGATCCCAGATGAGTTGCCTGATTGTCAGAGGGTTTTGTTTTCTTTTAAAGCATTTTTTTTTGCTTTTAAAAGAAAAAAAACCCTCTGACAATTAGGCAACTCAGCTGGGATCATCAGAGCCTTTTATAAGCATTTTTTCTACAACCTTTTGGCTGAAGAGGTTGTAGAAAAAATGCTTTTAAAAGGCTCTGACAATCCCAGCTGAGCAGCGCGATCATCAGAGGCTTATTTTTTATTTTTAAAAGCATTTTTTCAACCAAAGAAAAAATGCTTTTAAAACTAAAAAAAAAAAAAAGCCTCTGATGATCGCGCAGCTCAGCTGGGCGGGGGGGCAGGGATTTTTGCTACCGGTTTTCCACCGCCATCGCTACTGGATTGGGCGATCCGGTCTGAACCGGGAGCATTTCAGCCCTGCAACATACCCATGTATAATAAGTAAAATAGTGTCTTTTGACAGAACCTAGAAACCATGCCTTCTCTGCCTCAGTGCCTGCCCTCTGTAATAGTATCCCTCTAGAATAGGGGTGTCAAACTCACATCATCACGTGACATATTGTGACTACCCCCCCTTTGCTAAACCAGGTGTGGGTGTGGCCAGCATGTGATGCATTCGGCCTGCGGACTGCGAGTTTGACAGCCATGCTCTAGAAATTAAAGTGACCTTGATCTTGCCACCTTTTAAATAGACTTGAAGATCTGGATTTTTTTTCCCAGTGCATGGTTAGGAAGTATATCCACTGTGAGAATTTATCAATGTTGGCATGTTAATTTCCAGGTTAATTATCACCTTTTGTTGATTGTGTTGCCCTGAGTATTCCACCTAGAGCCGTGATGGCGAACTTATGGCACATGTGCCAGAGTTGGGACGCAGAGCCCTCTCTGTGGGCATGCACACGATCGCCAGCTGCTCTTTTGGTTTCCGATGCGCACATGTGTGCTGGCCAGCTGAGCGCCAGAAACCTGAAGACCAGCTGGCTGGTCCATGGATACCTGTTTTTTGGCCATTTTTGGCCATTTTTCAGGCCATTTTTGGATTATATTAGGCCATTTTCAGGCTGTTTCCAGGCCATTTTCCAGGCCATTTTTTATTCAAAAAACCTGCCTGAAAATGGCCCGAAAAGCAGCCTGAAAGCAGGCTGAAAAATGCCCAAAAACGGCCAAAAAACAGGCATCCATGCACCAGCCAGCTGGTCTTCAGGTTTCTGGCGCTCAGGCATGTGCATTCCAGTTTGGGCACTCATGCCAAAAAGGTTCGCCATCACTGACCTAGAGTCTCTATGAGTTGGGTGGCTTATGCATTTATAAATGAATAATATCTATTCTACAATATTGTTAAGAAATTAAAGTGGAGAAAGAAAAGCACAGTGGAGAAAAGGTTTAAAATTTAACAAAGCATTTTCTTGAGAGAAAGAAGAGTCTAAAATAATTATCTACTCTGTGTAAAAGAAAGATTGAAGATGTTCTATCATGTCATATTCTCAGCTTCCCATTTGAAAATAAATTGCACAAAAAACAGGATTCCTTTAAGGTAAATACTGTATACCTACTTATTTGCTATACATTATTTAGCTATCACATGTACAGTAACAGCTGAAGTGTGCATTTCTGAATACGGTAGATTTCTAGCAATTTCAACTATTTGTCATTTTTATAGAATGCTTGTGATGAAGGAGTTCCAAGAGACACTTGGCTAATCAATGTACCTATAATATTATTTCTTCCTCTGGGATTCTAATTTAATCAAACTTGGGACTTTGCATATTTTAATGGCATTTACATTCACTTTATACGAAATATTTAGTATTCTACTCTAGCAGATATTTCTATTCCATTCTCTCTTGAACAAACTACATTCTAATCTTTTTCACCTCAAAAAACCTATGGTTGTTGAGGGCAACTATTCACTCAAAGTTAATCAGTCAAATGGATCTGATAACAACTTATAACTTTTTTATATCTTTCAAAGTTTATAATCACATTTAAAATGAAAGAATAAAATTAATTTTTCATTGCTGAGATTATTAATAGAAATAAATTCATAGGAACAATTAACCATTCAGGATATGAAAACATTTTAATTGATTACTTTGATAATGGAAGGTCTATCTTTTTGTACTATTGTCAAACATTCCGTAGATAAGGTGTAATTGTGAAAAAATAGAACAATTTCTATTATAAGAACTATCTTTAACTGTAAACCTATATTAAATACTATGACACATTGAATATCTATCTATCTATCTATCTATCATCTATCTATCAACTATCTATCATCTATCTATCAACTAAATGACTTTTATACAGGGAAATAAGTAAAAGAAATAAACTTTTTCATGCTTCCAGCTTCTCTTGCAAATCTTATTGTCAATAATTATGCTAATGTCATTGTCCAGAGATTTTACAGAAAAATAAAGATATTGTTGATTCTTATTTATTCATGTTATATATCTTGCTCCCTGAACAATGTAAACAGAAGATGACTTAGCAATAGAGAAAAGTTACACAAATACACATACATACAAATTCCTTTTACTCTGGTAAAATTGCCAATTAAACACAGTTAGTGTAAGTTTGATTCACTGCACCATATTAAAGCTAATGCTGGACAGAAATATTCTGTTTTTAGAGAAGCCAAAGATTTTATCTTTAATGCAGAATTTCACCACTCTCAACTGATTGTACAATGGGAACATCAAGTCCTTATTTGAAAATCAATAATACTGCCAATAATAGTCCCAATTTCCCCCTGTGGGGTGAACTTTTAAAGTATTCAACTTGTAGAAGGTCCTGCTGAACACATATTCAATTTCCAGTTTTGGAGTTGGCACTTGAAGCATAATAAGCACCCAGTCATAGAAGGAACTCGGGATAAAATATAACTGAACAGGAACTGAGATTTTTTTCTCTTGTATGAGGTAACTTCTCCACAGATGAATCATAGTGCAATATGTCATCCTCCCTTAATCCATGGCTTGGGTTCACACCAAATATTAAACCATAATGTGTCTGTATTATTTAATTATTGTTTGACCCAATTTCTGAACTGTACTATAAAAGCTTGGCTTATGTCTTAGCTTACTATTGTAACCCAAGGTTTGTTCAGTTAATGTTGATTAAATAAACCAAGGCTAATTATGATAGGCAAACCAGTCCTCTAGGTTTTTCCCTTAACTATAGCTATGGCTTGAAGCTTGACTTGTTTCCATCGAATACAATTAAAATTAATTATAATTTGTATGAATTTTAGTGGCATAACAAGTTATAACTAATTAGAAACACAAGCAAACTCCTTGGAACTGTACCAGATACGGAGATTACCAGATTCTTAACCTAGCTACCTTGGACATACCAGATTCTTAAAAGCCAAAGTTCTTATAAATTCTATTTTAATATGTATAAACTAATATGTATAAACTAAGACATAGCAAATAAATGAAGGGCACCGCTGCAACAGAAATCATTTTTTTCCATTTTGGAAGATATGGGGGTGGAGGAATAGTTTAGAATATATTTGCTAATGAATATTCAAGAATGACTTCACCCAGTGCTGAAATGCAGCTGCTCTAGTGGCAAAATGCTGTAGATGCTTAAAACAGCAAGCAATTTAGTCAAAAGAAGTCACAACACATCACATCCTGTTCAATATGATTCTGTAAAAACAAATTAAAATATGCAAGAGGCAAATGGGTTTTGGGAAGTTACAAAGGCCAGGCCTGAGATGCAAAATAAATGTGATATTTAAAGTTTAAAATGTAGTTGTCAGCTTGTAGCAACTTTGTGATATGGAATAGTGCTTTAAAGAAAGAGACAGTCTTTGTGTAAGAAACTTGTTTTTTGTTATACAGTATGAAGGAGAATTGATCATTGAGGGGCTGCAATAATTAGTAATTCAAGAAAATATTATCACAGGTCCAGGCCAGTGGTGGGTTGCCCCTGGTTTGGACTGGTTCTATAGAACTGGTAGTAAAACTGGTGGGAGGCTCTGCCCACTGACCCTGACATCATCAGAAGTGATCTGCACATGCAGAAGCAAGGAGCATGCGCGAGCAAAGCGAGCACATGTGTGCGATCCCATTGTGAACCAGTAGTAAAGGTAAGTAGAACCCACCCCTAGTCCAGGCCATTTATACTATAATATTGCATTCTGCCTTCCATATGCTATTGATCTGATAGGATATAAGAAGTCTGGGAAATACCTATGGTCTTGTATCTACTTCTTGACTCTTACATCTTCTACACATTAGCATGTATACCTCAGATAATCCTCTCTATCTCCTCTCCTTTACATATAAGCAATGATGCTATTCAGCTGGTTCTATCCGGTTCAGGCAAACCGGTAGCGGCAGCTGCAGAAGGCTCCGCCCACCCACCCAGATGTCATCACATCCCGTTTTTGATGCTTTCCGCACGTGCAGAACTTCCTGCACATGCACGGAGGTGGCATGTGCGAGCGAAGGGACCGCTTGCGCACATTCCCATTTGCAAACTGGTAGCAAAGGTAAGTGAATACGACCCCTGCATATAAGTCTCAAGAAAATTTACTGGATAAAATGTAAGTCTACAAACTACTTACCTTATCATGAAATAGAAAGAAGTTCAAATTTTGACAAGTAGAGCTAACATAGCCTTCTCTAATCAGTAATATCTATTTATGAGGGTAATACATTAAAGTACAAGATGATCAAATATCCTTAGACTGAGAGGATTGTATGGGTTGGTTGTGGGTTGGTTTTGTTTTTGCTTTTTGTTTTGGTTGAGCTGGGATTTCAATCTTATATATCAACACTCCATCTTATTGCAATAAAAACCTATGAAATTAAATTACCCTTTCACAGTTTCTTAAGGTCCTACCAAATACATTCCTTTGGAATAATTATATCTCCAAATATTCAAAGTC